GTCTCAAGATAGGATGGATAAATGCTGACCGGGAGCCAGAGCGCCACTACACGCTGTGTGACCTTGGAAAGAAGGCTTAACTTTCTCTATCTCAGGGACATCCTCTCAGAAGACATTAGAAGGAAATATAGCAGCTCTAAGGATAAAAAGAATTCATGCGAACCCTCTCGGAGAGCCCGGCAAGCTATCTAGGGTATCCCACCTGCACAGCAGAGCCTGGCAAGCTCCCCGTGGCATATTCAATAAGCCAAAAACAGTAACGATAACGGGCCTCATTCCCCTGATCCTGAAAGAGCCTCCAATACGGCCGCATTGGGAAGGATGAGTAAGGAGAGGCAGCTAAAATCTCAGGACTGGTACGAATGGAGACGTTACTAGGGCCCACTCGAGCAAATCGATGAACAACAGGATGACAGTGATACAGTGAATTCATGCAAAAAAAAAAAATAGAACAGAGCAGTACTTAAGCCTACTGTAAACGCTTCTTAGGATGTTTTGCTCTGTGAGCTCCTTTGCACTTTAAGAGGTTTAATTTCATTTTCTGAAACTCACAGTTTAACATATCTGTCCACAGTGAAACTCTGAATGTCAAAATGAACACTTCTTGCTCCTATGTATAGCATTGACTGTTACCCATTGCGTCTCCCTCAGTGTTCTCTGAAACTGTTAGCTCCTTTACTGACTCAAGTTTTAATCCTAAGGGCCTGTGAGTGAAGAATAGACCCACGCCATTGTTAGCCTCCACTGAGTCAGCTCACCCAGTGGAGGGCAAAGAAGGTCACAGAGAGAAAGCACAGCCAAGTAAGCGCAGAAATAGGAACCTGACCCCATCCACCAGATGAGCCACGCCAGCACTGAAGACCAGCCCCAATTTGATAAAGCACCACCTTTATTTTTAGAAGGTTCCTCATAATTCTAAGTGACTAAAAATTCATTAAAGTAAGACCTAGGACAGGAGATAGTACAGGTTAATGTGCTTACCTTGCATCTGGCCAATCCCAGTTCATGTCCTAGTACTATATGGTCTGTGGAGAACCACCAAGGTTCACTTCCAAGCACAAAGCCAGGAATAGGCCCTGAGCATCTCCTAATCTTACTTAAAACTAATTACTTAAAGCCAAAGCAACAGTACAGTGGATAAGGCAATTGTCTTGTCTGCAGTCAACTTGGATTTGATCCCTAGCATCCCATCTGATCACCTGAGCCCACCAGGTATGGCCCAAAAATAAATATAAAAAAGAAAGTAAAAAATTAATTATTAAAGTAACAGTTTACTTAATTAGATGTAATTAAAGTGACAATTAAATGTAATTAAAGTAACAATTTTCCATTCTTATAGCCAGAATCTGGTGAATCTTGTTGGTTCTTTTCACCCATATCCCTAAGCACTAAAAAAATTACACATTCAAACAGTCTAATCTGAATATTTACAGTTTCCTAAAAACCAATCAAAAATTTTCCTGATGGCTTAAAAATAAATATTTCATTTACCATGGTTCCTTTAAACCTGGCTTTAAACAAAATGAACTCTAAAAGCAATTTTTTAGAAGGATAAGTCTCAGAGAGCCCAGCAAGCTACCAAGAGCATCTCCCCCGCACAGCAAAAAGCCTGGCAAGTTACCTGAGACATATTCACTCTGACAAAAACAGTAACAACAAGTCTCACAATTTGTTGTGAGACGTTACTGCTGCCCACTCAAGCAAATCGATGAACAATGGGAGGACAGTGCTACAGTGCTACTACTTTTGCACTTTCTTGCAAGGAAAAAAAATTCAGATTTCCATAATTTCCATGGGCGTATATTGTAAACATCAGTATACAAGTATAAACACATTAAAATTTTTACACATTGACTTTATTTTCTCACTTGAAATTTGCAAAAATAATAAATATATCACTTAGTTATATGCACTTTGAGGAAATAATTCCCCATATAAATATCCACATCATGTTCTGGAGCCAGCACCAGTTAACCATGGCAAGAAAAGAATTTCCAAGAACTACTCACACAAAGCTTTGCCTAACTAATAAAGTCACCTAAATCCAGGCATAACTCACTTGCTAAAATCTTAACCACACAACCATTCTCTGGCATTTCTGAATTCCTTCCAGTCTTTTAATTTCAAAGTAATAGTACTTCTTAATGACTAGAGCTAAATTAACTATTTGGAGGGGAAAAGGGATCCACTGATTACCAAGAACTAGAACAACCAACATCTAAATATATGATCATATTTCAAACCAATTTTAAATTTCAATCATACTGCATTCTTCACTGTTCTTGTGATAACAATATTTCTAGATTTTTATGTTCAAAGCACAATGTTTCTGCAAAACAAACATACTTATGAGAGTAATAAAATTGATACACGCTTTATCAGAAGTCACCACCCAAAGTCCTGTTCATGTGAACACATCTTGGGAAGAAAATGCTAACCAAAGCAAGAACAGTTGTTTCTTAGGTATATTATGGAGGGAGCGGATATTAGAGTCACCAAGTAGATGGTGAGTTTAATTAGCCATCTAAAATCTCACCCACGGGGCTGGAGCCATAGCACAGAGGGTAGGGCATTTGCCTTACATGCAGCTGACCCAGGTTCGATTCCCAGCATCCCATACGGTTCCCTGAGCACCACCAAGAGTAATTCCTGAGTGCATGAGCCAGGAACAGCCCCTGTGCATTGTCAGGTGTGACCCAAAAAGAAAAAAAAAAATTCTCACCCACTAAAATGTTCCCTAGTCAAAATACATGACTGGATCACTGTGGGTGGGCCACAGTACAAGACAAAAGGAAGCCCCCAGCTAGGCAGCTCTTCTCTTTGCCCCTCCCCTACGTCCATGCAGATGGCAGGACAGCAGGAATCCCATCCATAATTCATATGTCCATAGTCAGAGAGCAAGGAAGGCTGAGGGGGAGGGATTCACTGGCGAGTGCCCTAAAGGCCAAGCGACAAGGACAGTGTAGCGGATGTCAGCAAGGGGACACAGGGTCAGGGGTCCAGCTGCTGTTTCAGGCCAGGAATGCTTACACAGGGCAGAGAGTAGGAGATGGACAAGACCAGAGAATGGGGCAATGGAGCCAAGCAGTTCAGGGACAGGACCAGGCATGGAGGGATAGGACAAGTGACATCACGCATGTGTGAAAGGAGAGAGCTGGGCACTGGGGAGGGATGCTGACACATTTACCGGAACTGTACAAGCAACTTAAGCATCTGAGTTTTATACACAAATCTTTCATACAATCCTCAAGCACCCATGAAGTCGGGAATAAATCCATTTCTGCACTAACAGTTATATTAGCACACTCAAGGGACAGTTCTGGTCTGTTCCATTTGCTTTAAATATAGACAGAGTTGGCAGAGCCTGGCAAGCTCCCTGTGGCATATTCAATATGCCAAAAACAGTAATAACAAGTCTCACAATGGAGACGTTACTGGTGCCTGCTCGAGCAAATCGATGAACAATGGGAGGACAATGCTACAGTGCTACAGACAGAGTATAACACAGAGACAAGAACATGTCAACAAATGTTCTGAACAGCAACATGATCTTGGCTAGAGTTTACTCTTCATCATAATGGGTGACTCAAATAAGCTAACTTAGTCACTTCATCAGCGCCTCTCCTCGAGAACATACCACAAGGTTAAAAAATCAGTTCATTCAGAAGTTCTCAACCTTTGTACTTGAAGAAAACTAACTTTCCCATTTTTGAGTGCTTTGGTCAACTTTCTTGGTGAAAGAAGCTATCACTCCAGCCCCTAATAATAATAATAATAATAATTTTTTCAAACATTTGAAATGTGCGTCATTGCCCATTACAATGTGAATCTCACACAACACTCTCAGACATAGGTATAGCCCAGCTCTACAACTACTTCAAACAGAACGGTGAGCAACTGAACATCTCTGGATGGGACCCGTCGATGTTCTTGGATTGGGAGTAAGTGAATTCGCCCCCAAATATGGAAAGAAAAAAATCATTTTAGTCTAAATAAATAAAAGAGAAATAATATCTATTTTACCAAGTACTTATACAAATGGAAGAGTGTGGGGCTGAGGTTCAGTGGCAGAGCACATGCCTTGCATGTGTAAGGCCCCCTCACTTTGGTCCCTGGCCCCAGCCCCACATCACCAAGTGTGATCAATAGTGTCATGGTGCTGACCCCAAAATACCCAGCACTGCCACCACCAACACAACAAATTAAGTAAAAATTTACTTAAAGTGGCTTGCTCAGGGGCTGGAGAGATAGTACAATGGGTAGGGCATTCGCATTGCGTGTGACAAACCCAGAATGTTCAATCCCTAGCACCCCATATGGCCCCCCAAGCCCTGCCATGAGTATTTTCTGAGTGCAGAGCAAGGAGTATCCCCTGAGTATCATTGGGTGTGGCCCAACCCCTCCACAAAAGAGAGGGGGAAAAAAAGAGGAAAAAGGTGCTCTATCGTATAAAGGAGAGGGATGGAACGTAAATAGGGAACAAGTGGTTAGCTCATAATAGAATCACAATTTTTTAATTCCTTTACTTATATTTTCATCTATATACTTTATAAATTAATAAAATTTGAAGCTTTCTAAATAGTCCCTTGTGGTATGTACTATTTTTTTCAGTTATCACATTAAGAACATTTTGATATTTATTTACGTTGTCAAATAGGAAATTTGCTTCCCTCATTCCTTTTTTGTAAACATTCTCCAAATCAGAGTGGTATCCTTTAAAATTGTACTCCTTACTTCTTCTCGGCCTTCTGGCTAAGATCAAATGTAGTGTCTGTTCTTATCAGTTTAAAATTGTATTCTATAAATTTGTTTTTTTCACCCTTCTTATGGATAACTTCATTAATTTTCTTGATTCTTCTTAAACAGATGGGTAGATCCACACCTATGAATTTGGTATACAGCATCTCAGAGAAGAAAAGCTACTTTATATGTGTTTAATTGGAAACCCCAAAATCAGACTAGTCTAAAAAAGACAAAGATCTTCTTGGGGGAAAACTCACCTCTCCAAATCTCTCCATGTTTTGCATTTTAGTTAAGTTCCCACCGATGGACATGTCATCCAAGCTAGAAAGAATTTTATTAATGCTTCCTTCATTTGATGTGCTGTTTTTCAGTTTGGATCGGAAAATATCTCCTTGAACCCATAAAGATGCTTGTTTTCTGTAAAAAAGAAGAACAAAGCAATATTAAAATTAATTATATCTTCTCAGCAGTATGATGTCTTACAGATATCAACTTTAAAGACAAAACAAGTTTATTAGATAAACACTTATAAATCAGGCTAAAAATATTATGAAATCTTAGAACAAAGGGGGTAGAGTTCCCTCCTTCCTTCCTTCCTTCCTTCCTTCCTTCCTTCCTTCCTTCCTCCCTTCCTCCCTCCCTCCCTTCCTCCCTCCCTCCCTCTTTCCTTCTCCACACCTAGTGATGCTCAGAGGTTACTCCTGGCTTTCACTCAGGAATTACTCCTAGTGGTGCTTAAGAGACCATATAGGATGCCAAACATCGAACTCAGGTTGACCACATGCAAGGCAAGCATCACCCACTGTACCATCACTACAACCCCAGAAAGTCACTTCTTGAAGGTCAAATTAAATGATATTGAAGTATTAAACACAAATATTGGGGACATTGGTGGTGGGTATTGTCCACTGGGGAACAGTCAGTGTTGGAACATTGTATGAACCATATTGCTCTTAGTTTCATTTTATTCTATAACAGTAAGTTATAGAGCAGAATGAAAATCATTCTGTAAGGATAATTTATTTGAAAAAGAACACACGAAAGTCATTCCATCAGTAAAAAATACAAGTTCCAGATTACCAGTTTTCTTATATACTTCAAGGCTTTGTTTGCTTGATGTTTGGGGCCCACACCTAGTAGTGCTCAGGGATTACTCCTAGCTCTGTGCTCAGGGATTATTCCTGTTGGGTTCTGGGAACATATGTGATGTTGGTGGGCAAACCGGGGTCAGCTGATTAGAAGGAAGACACCTTATCCACCAGCCTATCTTTCAAGCCTCTTATCCTTTTCAAACCATTAAAAAATTATAATTGTGCCATAATAAATAAAAGAGATTATAAATGAGCCTCAAACATATTCTCTTCCCACAGGATGATAAAATGAGCTATACACTTGGTTTTTAGGTTGTAAGAGTAACTAAAGTTAAGAGTGCGGGGTTACGTGTATGAGAGAAAAGGAGAAAGAAAGCAAAGCAGAAAGAGCAGTCTGGAAAGGGCAAGAGACAGGGGCCCTGGGCTCACCCATGCTATATGGAGGTGAGATTCCTTATAGATCTGAGTACTAGACCCAACACTACTGAAAGCAAGGAACCCAAACTACAATAAAAACAGTATTCATCAAGTACGTTGTAGGGTGGGAGGGAATCTGGGGTCATTGCCAGAGGAAGGGGGTCAATGGGGGGGGGGGGAACTGGACGTGAGAACACTGCATGCCTGAAACTATTATAAACAACTTTGTAAATCACTGACAAACAAACACGGGGCAGGGGAGGGGCGTGGTGCTGAAGAGACAGTATTGGGGTCAAGGCACTTGCTTTGCATATAGCTGACCCAGATTAAATCCTTGGGATTTATAGTCCCCTCAGCTCCACCAGGAGTTTTCTCTGAGCACAGAGCTAGGAGTAAGCTCTGAGCACAGCTGGGAGTGACCCTGAAACAAAGAAAGTTTAGAAAAAATACAATGGAATACTATACAGCTATAACAAAAGATGAAATCTTGCAATGTGCTGCAACTTGGATGAAAACAGAGGGCATCACAGTAAACATTTTAAAATAAGTCAGAGGAAGAAAATGCCAGATGCCAGATGATATCACTCATCTATGATACGTAGAGAACAAAACACAGGAGTAGATAGCCTAAAATGATAACAAACCCTTGGCCACTAAACTGAGATTACCAAGGGCAGGGGGAGGGTGCGCGGGAATGAGGGGGAAGGAAAATCGTGGCATATGGACAGTGGTGGAGGATCATGGAAGTTTGGTGGTGGGGAGGTGCAGTAACTGTGTGCATCGAAATTATAAGCAATTCTTCTGTAACCATGTCACCTAAACTATAACAAGTACTTAAAAATAGTAGCTGGAGAAAAAGAATTATAAACAAATAAAAAATGCTTGTGTCCAATTCCTCCAACTGACCAAAACCACATCAAGGTGCCCTGCAGGAGTGAACACTTGTATAAAAGACAAAGAAGTACTTGCTATAGCATTTTTTGGTAATATTGAGCAACATACGGAAGACACCCTAGTGCATAAGCACTTTGTTGAATCAAAGTAGCTCTATTCTGTGCAGCATTAAATACACACTAAAACTCCCTGAGGCAGGGTGTTTGCCTTGCACAGGGCCAACTCAGATTCAATCCAGGCCAGAAGTGATCCCTGAGTACAGAGCCAAGAGCAAGCCCTGAGCATTGCTGGATGTGGTCCCCAAACAATCCCCTCCCCCAAAAATATTTTTTTAATTAACTCCTGGGTTAAAATTATATGTGGTGACAGAGAAGAGTGGTAACAAAATAAAACTTTACTCAACAAAAACTCTATATCGTTGTATTTGTTATTTGTTTTCTTCTGTTTGGGGGTCATATCCAGATGTGTTCAGGGCTTATTCCTGACAGTGCTCAGGGCTGACCCCCAGTGGTACTCAGTGGGCCCTATGTGGTGCTGTGAATCAACCTTGGTTTGGCCAAGTTCAAGGCAAGTGACTTCCCCACTGTAGTATCTTTCCAGCCCTAATGAAAACTCTGAGTGACATGGCATGGAAAGTATGGTTCTGTTTTTGTAAAACAAAAAGAGGGGGAAATGTTAGTGTTAATGGAAAATCCAGTTTTACAGAAGAATATAGATCAAAATACCATTATCCCTGATAATGGTAACAAGGAAAACCTTTCTGTAGCACAGTGTCTACAATGTTTAAATAGCATTTGTAAAAAACATCATTTTATAGTCAGAAACTGGAAGAAACCTGAATGCCCAAGAACAGATGACTGGTTAAAGAAACTTTGGTACATCTACACAATGGAGTACTATGTAGCTCTTAGAAAAGATGAAGTCATGAAATTTACATACAAGTGGTACAACATGGAAAGTATCATGCTAAGCGAAATGAGTCAGAAAGAGAGGGATAGACATAGAAAGATTGCATTCATCTGGGGGATATAAAGTAATAAAATATGAGATTAATACCCAAGAATAGCTGAGATCAGCACCAGGAGGATTACTCCATAGCTTAGTGGCCAGCCGGGCATTCTAGAGGAAAGGGCAGCTCAGATAGAGAAGGGAACACCAAATAAAGGGTGTTTGGAGGATCCTCCCAGGAGGGGAGATGCATGTCAAAAGTGGACTATGGACTGAACATGTTTGCCACTCAATGCCTCTTTTGCAGACCACAACACCCAAAAGGAGAGAGAGAACACAGGGGATTGCCCTGCCACAGAGGCAGGGGGAGATGGGGGGATGGGGGTGGGGGGGATATTATCCATGGTGGTGGAAAATGGGCACTGGTGGAGGGATGGGTATCTGATCATTGTATAATCAAACCCAAGCACAAAAAATTGTAAATCTACAACTGTACCTCATGGTGTTTCACTAATAAAAAAAAATTTTTTAAAAAAAGTATGAAATGTATCAATTATGTATAATCTTCACAGATAAATGAACCTGTTATAACATCATTTTAAATACAGATCAATAAAAGAGCATGCCAAAACAAAACAAAAAAACATTATTTTAAAATATTTGAAATAAAATGTCTGATTTTCCAAAAGTCAGAAAATTTTCTAAAAATAAATGATTGGAAGGGAGGAACGAAGGAAGGGAGGGTGGAAGGGAAGGAAAGATGACGGAAGGAAGGAAGGAAGGAAGGAAGGAAGGAAGGAAGGAAGGAGGGAGGGAGGGAGGGAGGGAGGGAGGGAGAAACCTTGAGTGCCTATGAAAAGGAACCTTCAAAGTCTTTATTATAAAGGAAAGCGGACAGCACATCATTACACTGACTAAGTAACACTATAAAGTACCTTTAGAAGTCAAAATACACACGAAAATGTTAATAATATGTGTTGGGACCTCAACAGCTGCGAAGCTTCCTTTAAAAAAAAAATCTTACCCTGCTTTTAAATTTTAAAAATCATTTGATTTTTTGGTTCATTTCTAACATTTTTAAATAAATATAAAAAAAATCTTTTGATTCACCGCTTACACAGCCAGTGTAAAGGTTTCAGATATAAAATATGATAAAATATGCTGTCCATGTATAAAACTGACTTATCTGTAATTTATTATTCTAAAATTGTGACCAATTTGTTCTAGGAAATACCCAATGTTTCCATATAGACTAAATTTAAAAATAAAAATCTGGTGCATTCTCAAGCAGATAAATAAAATAAAAAACTCCTTATAATAAATAAATAGATAAGGAGATAATAAAATAAAATCTACTTATACCAGTTTACTAGGAGCCTGGAAGCCGCTGCCTTCCAGCACAGAGTAGGTGCCTTTCGGAAGCAAACCACAGAGGACTATTCCCAAACCTCAGCTACGTAAAGCATGAAGTTAGCAGAATGTTATAAAATGGAAACGGATACAACCTAGATGGACATCACAAAATGACACGCTTCACTCGCTCACTGTAAAAGTATAAATCTGGCCCCTCAATCGAAAGACTTAACATGAAGCTGAATATCAAAGATGAAGGTGTCAGAGCTGACTGGTGTGTTGCTAAGCAATGCCGTACGCAAGTGCTTCTTACAGAAAAGCAGCACTTCATGCAAATAGAGTTTTTATTGACAACAGAAACCATGCTAGCTTTTATTGTGGTGTCTATTACTCCTTAAAAGCCTCATCTCAAACAGAAGAAGTAAAACATTGATTTCTAAGTATTTAGCATTTGAAAATCAAATCCCACGAAGCTAACACACCAGCTCAAGGTAAACCCTGCAAAAATGCAGTGCATATTCTGAAATGGTAGAACATTACTGACCCCACACAAAAAGAACATGTGCACTGAAAGGAAAAAAAAAAGAGATTTGTCTTGATTTGAATAGAGCCTTGTGGAGACATGGGAAGCAGGATGGCCCCTGTTTGGGGCAAAACACCCGTCTTGGTTTAGTTGAAGGTTTGGGTTAACCAAGCATAAGAAATTTTTTTACG